AGAAGAGAGCGTCAAGTTGTTGTCTGTGAACAACAGAGGCAGCCTTGTGATTATGACTCGTCCATTCTATCATATACGGGGCCTTACGGCTGCATTTCGCGTTGATCTAATATCTGATGACTAACTTCAGGTTCACGCCATGTGTCAACTATAAATTTCAGTAAATGTTCCATGTATGATCATTCTCGGTGTTAGTTTTATGATAAGCTGCATTGTCGACAAAAAGTACTCATGTGTTTATGTATTTGTTTGTGACGTTCATAAGGTAATTGTAATTACCTTTATAAGAAATAACGACAGTCGAGCTCCGGTTTGTGAAGGAAGAGGCGAATGCGACTGTGGCCGCTGCGTGTGCGCGAAACGAGAGGTAAATTAATTTCTCCCTACTGCTGCATGTACATTCGTGTTTTTAATCGCCGAATTTTGTTTAGAATATGAACGAAATTTACTCTGGCCAATTTTGTGAGTGCGACAACTTCAACTGTGCGAGACATAACAAACGGATTTGCGCTGGTAGGTGTATATTAGAAAACAGGCGACTTGGATGACTGGTGATGGTTTAGGACACGGCGACTGCGTATGTCAGCAGTGCAAGTGTCATCCAGGATGGACGGGTCGAGCGTGCGAGTGTCCGATCAGCCAGGAGAGCTGCCGAGCGTCCAACGGTAAACTCTGTAACAACAGAGGAAAGTGCATTTGCGGTGTCTGCAAATGTTCAACCGATCCGGAGGGTATTCGATACAGTGGTCCTACCTGCGAAATCTGTCCGGTGAGCTGTGTTTTGACACTCTCTGTATAATAAAGCATTCATCTATTCTGAGGAATGTTTTAATCTCTGTTCTGGCGGTAGCCCCGTTGTGTGGATATGAACATAATTCCCATCCGCGAAAAGCCATTCTTAAGCTTAGAAACCAAAATAGTAGTCAAAAGAAATATTTACTTTTAACTGTGTGATTCAAAGCAAAGGTGTCAGAAGGTCAAATGGAAGACTTGTTGCATACCTGGTTTCGTTTTAGTCGCGCTGAAAAAATGAAGCGTTTACATTAAAATTTATTTAATTCGAAATTAATGGATAAATTGGACTGTCAAAACTCGAACTGTAATATACTCCATACTACAAGAACGATCAAACACTGAAGGACCTTTTCTCCGTCGGCCTCTTAATTTCCAACTGAATGACATTGTGATAAAGAAGCATCAGGAATTGTGAGCAGTCTTGTTTGTCAGACCGTTAGAAATTATGACAAAGTAGTAAATGCCAATATCAAAGCTTTTCTGATTACATCCTATCTGCGTGCTTTGCTTGAAAGTAATTCATTTGACTTGTGATGCCGGTGATGAGACATCTCTTGCACTAAAAAGCCATACCTCCTACAGTGAGCAGACGAAATTTTTGTACTGTACACATTGTTTACTTCTTCTGTGTAATAGTGTTGCAATATTGTTACAGACATGTCCAACAAAGTGTGTCGAATACAAGCCATGTGTCATGTGTCAACAGTTCAAAACCGGGCCTTACAACGTGTCAACTTGCGCTCAGTGCCCTTTCACTGTCATTCCGGTGGATAAACTGCCTGGTAAATGAAAGTGACAAACAAACTTCTGTTCTAAATGCCTTCTGTTTCAGAACTGGAAAAGAATCGAACTGCCGTCAGCTGTCAGTTCGTCGATCAGGCCGATGATTGTACTTTTTACTTTAAGTACGAGTTGAACGAAGACAGCGATAACGTCACGGTGTGGGTGCAAAAGAAGAAAGGTAACGCCGTTTAATGCATGGGAATTAAATTGAATTAATCACGCAAAGCCGAACATGAAAAAAATAACATTAATGATAGTGAATAATAAGAAATGATGAATGTTTTTATTCAGCTTTATCTGTATTTATTTAAAGATGAAATCATGGTCCATCTTGTTTTTTTGTCACAACCGTAATGATTTAATGTTCATTTGTTTTGCAATGGTGCTACAAGTAACATGGAAAGTTAACAGTGATTCTGAATGGTTCATACCAGTTTGTCACTCAGTAACTTGCGGTTGTCATGTCGTTAGTGACATAATGACAAAGATTCTTTTCAGTCAGAACGGGATTTCGATGATCTCTCGTATTAGTACTACGCTTGTTGAACTTTTTAAGAATCATTCTGCAGTGAGGGCATTATAATTTTACCCTCTCTTTAATGTATTATGTATATTTTTTGCCCAATTAGTAACTAACCAGAAGGAATCCGACATGCAGTAAATCTGGCTAAGCAAGGGCGCGAGGGCGGGCTCATGGCAGACAGCATTACAGTGAAACTTAAGGAATCAGAGCATGTAGCAACGATCAAGATGTTAGCGCGTTTGTTTTCAAGATATCTGAAGGAACTGAAAATTCCAGACGACTGCACTAATACATCGGTGATTGTATTTCAATAAAATGGAGAGGGTTCGAAGGACTACGAATCTATCCCTTTGTTTCTAGTTTTCGACAATATCATCACGAACGTATGGAGGAGCAGACGGATTCTGCTCTGCCATATGAGCACATATGGCTCAAAAGTGAATTTATTACGGTTATCATGTTCAGGTGGTACAGAAAATGATAGAGACAAACGACGATTCTCAGCTTCGCCCCTGTCTGTGGTTCGTCAGAAATGCTTTTTAGTCAGCCTAAATTCGTTCTGTACTTGATTCCTTGAGGAGCCAAGGAATCGAAAATCAATATGACTACGTCGCTTTCGTTGACAAGGATGCAACTGCTAGTGTAAAGCTGTAAAATCGAAATGTAAATCCAACATGGAGAGGTAAAATCAGCCATGTTTTGAAAAGCCTTCTCATCACAAAATTTAGGAATGAAGCCATCCCAGAAGTAGAATAGCGATGAAGAAATCAACCAGTGTGAAGGCTGGGCAGTTGTTGATGCCTGAAAATTGTTTTTGCACCGTTGCAGTACCGCATATGAGTATCGCAGATTAGACACTTCTGTGATCCATTTTTTAGCTGATATATTTGCAAAAAGTTTAAATCCCTAGTTAATCATTGGGGATGTTATCTAAGCTATCCCTTTCAGTCTATAATTGAAAGTTGTTACCTCGCGGATGGATTTATTTCTCCAAATTTGTGATTATATATTTTAGTTGTTCATTTATCTTCAATGTTTCTGATATGCATTAGATTCCTTCAATGCCCTAAAATATTATTCATAATGTTTTATTTAACGTCAGATTGTCCGCCTCCGGTACCCGTGTTGGCAATTGTGCTCGGCGTTATTGCGGGCATTGTACTGATTGGCTTGGTGCTACTACTTATTTGGAAACTTTTAACTATCATTCATGACAGAAGGGAGTACGCGCGTTTCGAAAAGGAGCGGCTTATGGCTAAGTGGGACACGGTAAGCGTCGATTATCCATTTATCGCGTTCGTATCGCCGTCGTAGCCCAATAGATGTTTCGAAGGATGAGACTCTGTTGCTCCTTGGCGTATAAAACTTTGAAACGTGCCGAAAGAGAATGCAAAGTCAGTTTCTCTTAACGATTGTTTCGTACAGCAGTTTTTGTTTATTGGAAGTAATGGCATCGATAATTTCTTGCCTTTTTTAGGGCGAGAATCCGATATTCCATCCGGCCACCACCACGTTCAAAAATCCGGCTTATGGCAGTAAAATGTGAACGAACGCCTTAATCGTAGGCTCGTTTCACCATTTCGCCGCCGAGCGGCCCTCCATCGTTTCTTCGTTACCGCTGTTCGTTTTCTAGCCGGGTTCTGTTTTTCGAACTTGCTCATAGATTGTGTTTCTGTTGTAAGTGCCTTGTTATTGATTGGCAAATGGTCGTTTTGTAGATGGCAATTGTCTTGCTTTAGCCAAAGCTTTTTTTGCTACTTTTACTTTTTACACTGCTTAACCGTTCCTATTATCCTAATACTATTTTATTTGGCCTGTCACAATCGTTTTTAGTCACATGCGGCAGTTTATTGTACCGTATTGTATATTTAATCCAGGTTATTCATAAACATTAAATTTTATAAAGATTAGTGTTTTTCAACATTTTACATTCATGAAAAGCGGCTATTCAGCGTGCTATGGGGTGGGATTTTGAAAATAATAAGGCTCGAACGGACTTAGTTTTGGGTTGATATAAAGCGTCTGTCGACAGAGGGCAGTTGTGAATTTAAGCCCTGCGTTGAGAAAACGTATGGCGGCGTGAAGAGTACTTAAGTTCACGTTTTGATCGGCAGTGTCATTTCTTTGGTCTATCTTGATTCAGGTTAAGGCCTACATCGAGTTTATACATGTATGTTCAGGCCCTGAGTCATTATAAGAATAAGGCTGAGACAAGATTTGGATAAGTTGGATTTCTATTCGAAGTCAGATTTTCGTCAATACACTTTTATTTTAGACTTAAAATTTTGCCATTGGTC